CCTATCATACGCACTTTCTAAAAGTCGACATAGTTTACCAAATAACTTTCGTATGATACATACAAGGCTTTCATTTCAAAACGAACCCCCGACTGTCATATTGACAAAAAAAACAAAAATTGCAATAACAAGCCTATGGAGAAGTTCAGGGAAGCTTTACCTTAATTTTACCATTCGCCCTCGCACCCCAGCTGCCTCTACTTTAAAATTATAATATGCAGCCCCATCGAGTGATGTCATAGAACTCTCTTCTCGAGGCTTTGATAGCATTTAAGAAGCTTTAATAATATTCAAGAGTCTTCCCCAATATTTAAAAACCTCGGTCTGTGAGAGAGCCATCTGTGAGGCATTGTCGTCAATTTAGTATTTATACTATATGAATATCGGTATTTCAAACCATTCGTAACTTGCTAAATTCTCGGAAAATACTCTTGGCTGATCTATATCTCTAAATGGGGTGATGAACCATACAGGAAAATAAACAACTCAATTCCTCAAAACCTTCCCCATGGATATTTCATTATTGACGAACAGATGTAATTGTGAAATGTTACGACATGTTTCGATTGTTAATCATCTTCAGGTAACAAACTAAAATAATTAAAGTTAAACCGTTGACTCGAGAGCTAAATTCTTCTTTAAATTTCTTCTTCACGAGTTTTCAATTGCCTCTTACAGCCTTTAGAGATTCAAACGGACATTTAAAAGCTTCACTTAATATCCGAATCTTGAAGAGCCTTTGCCCGTTTATACGAGCTGTATGGGATTCTAAGTGCATTTAAGATCCATTAAAAGTTTCTAAGAGTCGCGAACGGTTTCTAATTGCTTCCAAAGATTTTCAAGATTTTTCAAAGATCTTCTAACGGTTTAATAATTCTTACGTTGTTAAGTCTTTCACCACCTTGACATGCTTCTTTAAGAGTTTTGTCTTGGGCTTATAAGAGTGTTTATGAGTATGGTTCTTTAAAAACCGTCGCAAAAGAGAAGCTTGTAGTTTTTTTCCGAAGTTTCAAGATCTTTTGTAACTTCTAAAAGGTTTTCACCTCTAAGAGGTTTGTAAAACCTTAAAGTGGAACTAGACTTCTTTTCCAGAAATGGGTTGGTCATGGGTCTTGGAAGGAGAGTTAGGCAAAAGAAAAGGTCAAAACCCAGGTTATTTATTGATGGTTTTTCCGCTATAAAATTAACACAAACAATGCAATCAAATTACATTTTATAAAGTAAATACGTACCTATAAAATTAACCGCACGCTAATATTTTGTAAATGAAACTTTATTATTATTTTAGGTGCCTTATGGATCAAATTTATACGAAAAAGAAAGCATCGCGCCACGCAAAAGCCAGACCCAGCGCGGATATCAAATTCAGGTTTTTCAACAAGGCACATGCCAGATAAATTTGGTCTATCTATAAAATTAATTGTTTCTGATAATAAAGTAGGTACGTCGTCAATGGCAACGTCCTTTATACTTAGTACGCTGCTTAATTTTTCGGACCTAATGTTGTTGATTCTATTACCATGGTTATACTACCTACGCCAGCCTTGAGGAACATTTTTCTATCATGATAAAATATTAATAAAAGACGAATCCGGATAAAATATGCTTCGGTGTTATAAACAATCTTCAAGATAACACGGTGTTTTATAGTTTAAAGGACTTTAAAGTACCTATAACGCACCTACAGCTATCTTAATAGCTATAAGAGTCTTTGTTTTTAAAAACGTTAGAAAGTCAATCCTTGAACGGCCTTTAAGACTCTTTGTGAACTTTTATAAGTCGTTAAGAGTCTCTAAGAGCTTATAAGAACCGCAAATAATCCAAGAGAGCCCCGACTCCAAGAGTCTTTTGATTGGTTTTAAAGTTTTTATTCGCAGTTAAGAGCTTTTAAAAACCCATTTTATGTTTTCAAGTGTCAGCATGAATTTCCAATAGCCTTCGCGATTCTTTTACGAACTTCAATAGTTTTAACCGACTTTAAGAGTTTTCAAGATCTGTCCGTTCTGTATGAACTCTATTTGTTTTTGCAGTCCTCAACGACCTACCATGCAATAATCTCAGATACGACTCTTAATACTGAAAACTAGCTCTCTATTTATGCGAACACCCGACTGGTTGTAAAACAGACATCGCGACCCACAGATCCGAAGGCTCTAAATGACTTCACGTCCCTTAGGACTTTTGAAATCTCTTAAAAACGTCAAAGTTTAAGAGCAACGTCCCCAAAAGTCCCAAAATTTAAGTTTCTGCTTTTTTTAGGAACTAGGTACTACAAATAGGAAGATGGACCTTGTGTCTTTACCTTTTTGGATATACCCTTTCCAATTTTCTAAAGATATTTCGTAAATTGTTAATTGCACGTATTAGCTTGCAGCATTTATAACCGTGTATGTCGTCTATGTAGCTCAGTAGTAGAACGTTGGGCTATACATCCGGAGACCGGGTGTTCGAATCTGGGCTGAGGTGAGAAATTTTCATCTGGGACAGAGATGGGAACTTCCTTAGATTAGTTTCGAGCATTCTGCCAGCTACTCCGATTTAGGTTTTCCTGCAGTTTTCCTAATTCGTAAGGTGAATATAAGAACAAATACTTCATTTATACGAATCGACGCGCGGTTTAGCGGTAAGCGGAAATTTGAGGCGAGAGGTAAGCTTTTAACAGAAGTAGTCACATCTGTCGGCACTCAATTTTAACCACAGGTGCTTCTAGTAAAGACAAATATATGGCACATTGTAAAAAACAGACGTCCACTCTCCTAGCTATTTATATATATATTTTTTTAATTTTAACCAAAGACTTCTAGTCAAGGCAAGCATATCGCATATTGTAAAAATCATATGAGCATATGCGCAAACTGCACAATATCAACTTTCTTAGTTATGGAAATATGTTTTGTTGAAATTTGAACCACATCTGCTTCTAGTAAAGACAAGCATATCGCATACTGTAAAAATCAGGCGCGCGGGGTGCAAAGTGCAAAGTCACCTTTCTTATTTATAGAGATATATTTGAATTTTTAACCATTATTCTAGCAAAGGCAAGCATGTCGCATATTTTTTCCAATTTTGATTTTTTGGCGTAACATAACGAAGTTGAGGTAACGCTTATGTGATCGGGTTTCCGTCGTCTGTCTATCTGTTCCATCGAGATCTCGGCCCCTTCGGATTTTCGCTAATTGATTGCTGCTATGGTCTATAATTGCCCGTGGCTCATCATTTACAGTTGAGTTACGTGGCGACACCTACGAGTGGTAATTTATAGGTTATTCAATATTTCTTACAAAAGTCTTTACCCATTAATTAATTACGGGCGGCAAAGTTCTACCAAATCGTTCTTGATCTTCTCAAGTTTTCGAGTACGCACTCTATCTTTATGAGGATCGCGATGGTACTGAGAAGGGTCCAATGAGTCTCCGGAAAACACGTAGCAAGCGTTAGAAATCTATTGTAACGTAGATGAATTTATAACAGTCCTTAAATAAATTGATTTATAACAAATGATTATTATCTGTCACTCACTTGTACTCAAATTTATATAACGCGAGCGTAAAATCACTACTCATATTCGGCGTCGATGGTAGAACTCTCATTAAACACGTTTCAATTTGCTTATATAGCAAACGGTTTCTAGAGAAAATCACGAAACGTTTTCGTTTCGCCTAGAAGGTGTATGATAATTCAAGGTAAGAAGAATGCGTCCTATCTGATTTTATTCCTTATCGCCAGTGACTAAATCTTATATCTACTTGATGGCGCCCCGATGTCTGGGATACTCCCTACACTATTAAAGACCTAAAGCAGTTTGAACAGCATTGAATCACTTAGATTAGAACCCTTGCAGAGCAAGCGTGTTTCGTGTAAAACGTAAAAGTAAAATTCTCAGAGAAAGCTTTCACAGAGCACTTTGAGGAGACTTTTGGATCTTTAGGCTCTTGGGTGGGATCCATTGAAACTCATTTTCGGTTATTTACCATTTTTTTTGCACTTTTTTGAGTTGAAAAGTTATTTAATCGGAGGTGGGTATCTTGACGATAAGGGTTCTTGTTTTACCAAATTTGAATGGGCGAAGTGGAACTAATTTTGAAGATTGAATTGAATTTACTGAACGAGCCTCTATGTGTTGCCTTAATTTATTCGTATTATTTGCGAAATTGTGTTGTCAGCAGTAGTTTTTTTTTTCGTTTTCCACACTTTCGAGACGAGCTGATTAATGAAGCAAGCCAAATTGATAAATGATAATTTCAAGGTACCGAGAGCAGACCTTTTTTTTTATTTCCGATGAATGAAAAACGGCAGAGGCAATTTAAAATCGCAATTTTTCAAAGTCGCAGATAATTGCATATGGGCATACTTTTGATTGGCTTCGCTTCATTATTGGCCTTTGTTACCAAGGAATTTATTGCAGAAATTATACACAGAACATGTGAAACGCGAAGTCAATAATAACAAATGGACACTTCGAGAAATGGTTTATTGAATTTTAAAGTGGAGAATAAAACTACCATGAATGTTAATTGAATGCGTTGTCTGAACGCTTTAGTGTTATTTGCATGCTTGTTTTTCTTTTGACGACCACACAATACGCGGCGACCCTTGTTGTGGACATTAAATATAATACGACCACATAAAACAGTATATTTTCAAATAATGCGTGGCCGAAAGTAATCCGTCTACAGTAAACCGATTCCATGGGGGTTGAAACAAATATTTACATTTACAACTCGTTGACGTCTATACTACACTAATAAAAATTTCACGACGATAACAGCATCCCTAAGCTCTTTAACTGAACTATAAAAGTTATTCCAAGAGTGCACCACTTCGGCTTAAAGCGTAAACTGTGAAGGGTTAGCAAGTTCGTCACGGTCACCACAAATTTCCTCTTATCCGAAAAGCGACGAGGAAATCCGGGAAATGGAGCGCCAGGAAAATCTTCGCGTCGGAGAGGGGGATCCCGGATGCAAGGGAAACACGTATCTGCAGACAGCGGGCGTGTCTCTTCGCCGCAATACCGAAGTACTAAAACTTAATCGACTGAAAATATTTGCTCAATAAATTAATATTTCAATCAATAGTGATTCGGCAATGGCAACCGAGACAATCGAAATCGACGCAATATTTGCATGCACTTGCAGACGTCGATTAAATGTTTTTTACTTAACCCATAAGAATTACGTGCCGGTTCTTTGATAATCTCAAGAAAATGCGGGTTAGTGAAAAGCCAGATAGTTTCCCTGTGTGTTGTTGTCAATGCAAGAGAAGGCCTTTGGAATCCACTGACGAATTAGTTGTAAACACCTTGTATAGAATCGCTCTGACCATTTGGCACGTTGCATTTTACATCGAAAATGAACAGGTAACATTAATCGTTATTTGTGTATACAAAAGATACGGGAATTATCTCATAACGTAATCCTCAACTCGTATAACATTTGAAGGGGATTATTCGATTGCGATCATCTTCCAGTGCTTTTTACTAACATGCATAACTTCTTTGAATTTCTTTTGACAGTGCCTACTAGATTGGTAATTAATTAAATTTAATTGTTACAGCACACCCACGAGGAACCAATCAAGAGCGGAGTTGGAGGAAGAAAGGTAGGTACTCCTGGTTTTAGTTAAAATTGAACTTTTCCTGTATTGTAAAAACGAATCTAAAAGTTACCACATGGAAACGATCGATAAGGAAATTTACGAATAGACTGCTGAAAGGACTTGTGTATCACACCTAAAAGCGGCACAGATAAAATGGCTTTCATGAAATACCGACAGCTTTGAGTTGTTTCTATCACAAAGAGAACTAATGAGAATGCAAATTGGAATACGACACCGGTCTCTTTTTCTGCTTTCTTTTAAAGTTTTTTTGGAGGTACTGAAATCGCACGGTAATAATTTTTATGGGTTTGGGTCATCACAAAATTTTAAGAACCTAATCATGGCCCCGTTTTGTTGTCACTTGTTCATAACGGATCATTTATGGCACTTTGTATTTTAGTAAATCCATTTTATAAAGTCTTTTATGTTTCAGTTAAACTTATCTGACAGTTAATTACCATTGAAACTAATGTACATTGAACGTTACCTATCAGATACAGTGAAGGACATTTTCTTTTGTTAAATTAATGTGAAACAGCAAATTGGTCTAAGACGGGTGCAGCTAATAATTCCAAATTATGTATCGATAACGCTACTACAGAAAAACAACCAAAACTCCAGCTGTCGATTTGAAATGTTCTTACAATATTTGCAATGGAGATGAACTAAAATTGAGCAAGTCTAGGCAAAATTCTCCCTGGCCATCTATAATTGGCAACAATCGTTGAAATACACATTCTCTATAAGAGCTGGGCGTGTACTAAAAATTTTCATTTAAAGTAATGTGACTTTCGTCAAAAATTATTGTTATCGGTTAGCTAGAATGCTGGAAATTTTTTTAACAACGTTTTCTAGGAGAATCTTAACTATTTCATTGACAAGAAACTAAATTTTCAACGCCCTTAAAGGAATCGGTTTATTTTAAATTTAAAAAAATGGTTTCCTTATTTATAAATTAAACCAACGGACTTTTCTTGGGTCGTTCAACTTGAAGTACTGACTAATCTACTTTGTTGATACAAATGGTTGGCATGACACTTGATACAAAATCTTGGGTCTCGTAAATGAATGACTGTCCGTATTCTGACGGTATATGTCAATGTCACTAAAAAAGATTACTTATGTGCGCACAATCAGCCACTGCAAATGGCGAAGAATTCCGTCTTGCAGTTTTAATTTTAGTTTTCCGCACGTTTAAAATTTACATTTTTTGCATTTATCGTAATTGTTTCTCTAATCCTAAATAATTTTAATGCCAGGCCGTTATTTTTATGGGTTACAATTTTCACTATTGTTCGTATTTACGGTGATAGTTTCTATACTGGAAAATGTCCCTTTGTAAAGGTCACTAAAAAATTTTAATTCGCGTTTCATTTTCTACTGGAGACGCAGGCAACTTCTCAGTTAGTAATATTTACAGGTGGTCGACCCAGGGCCATGTAAGCAAGTACTCAAATTTGCGCCTCTGCCGGCCTCGCTATAGCCCGAATAATGGGAACTTTTGGCCAGCATGTTTTTAAAAATACAGGGTGTTAATTAATGTCATGCAGATATTTCAGGGGGGCAAATATGTGCGTGGTCTAAAGGGCTTTATTTTCGTTATACATGGTGGCAAAGTTTCAATTTTTTTCTCGGATTTTGCGCTTTCTCTCTTATGTTCTGTGATAATTGTTTCAAATTTGATACATTAACTATTTTTTAGTATCTCTACAAGTATCAAAATAATTGGTCGCGGTTTACAGGGTGTTACATTTTCTTTGCCACCCTGTATAACGAAAACGACGCGTTTTAGATGATGCATATATTTGCAATTTTTTCTTATTTTGACGAGTACTATCACCCACTGAAATATCTGCATGACAATAATTAACAGCTTGTATAGAGGTTCATATTTAAAACATTTATTACTAGCAGACCCGACGCTTATCAGTCCCGCTAATTCCAATTGTTCCGGAGTTGAACATTACGTTATTTTGTAGGTTTAAAATTGTGTTCTCACATTTTTTTGAAAAGCAACGTTATACAAAAATGCCATAAAGTTTTCCGAAGGGATAACGCGTCTGCTATTTACGAATATGCCTTTCGTGTACGGATTTTTACGTCCTTGGACAGTCAGTCATTAACCTTGAGTAATGTTTGCGCCCCTTCCTGTCTGCGGCGTAAGCGGCGGGTTACATTGCTTACGCCTAAAGCCGGGCCTGGGTCGACCAAGTGGTCGACTTAATTTCGCTAGATCGATTCCAATTCAAATAACATATAAAATCTACTCTGCGATAAATTCCCGGTGGCTGACTTAAGTTCATTCGCGCTTTCACGCGAGAGTTTTTTTAATTTAAAATAGAAAACATTACTCCATTGTTATCTACGGATGACCGACAACTTTGCGATAATTGTTTCTCGTGGTTCGACGCGAATTACCTTGCGGCTCAATACTAATTTTTTTCGCCGCGGTGTAGTCTTAATTTTTTTGTTTTTTTCCCAACAACCTAATTCCCACTACTTTACTTTTCTGATTCACATCCATTCTGGGATGCACAACCTTCTCCACCAATAAAGACTAAAATTTTCATACATTCTAGCGTTACTCTAGCGGCTACTGGGGAATGCTAAAACAAACTTGAAGCACACAGCAATTTCCCTAAGCGGGAATAGTCAAAAATCGAATTCGATAACGGTTTCTACGGGAAAGAAAATGTAGGAAAGCGAGACAGTATCCCTTCCCCTATAAATAATGAAAGTGAAATTATATAGCAAAAAGCTATAGATACGGTGCGGTAAACTTAATGTAAAGGGCGGTTTGAATGCAAAACAAATTTACGGAAAATATCCAAATTTAATACAAACGTAAATGAAGAAAATGCAAAAGGCCGAATGATTTAAATAAGGTTAAAACACCAACGGGAAAAGAACATTTCGGTTAAGTTACGTTTCGGGTAACACCAAATGCAAAAGATCCCCTCTAAAATAAGTGTTTACCTTATATAAACTTCCCAAAATACGGAGAGGGAACGTAGGAAATGCCCGACCGGCCGGCGTATTCGGTTAATACTGTCCAATAAGTAGAACTCATTCAATTAATTGTGCGGCTCACCGATGCCCTACAAATCTGTTATTGGTCTCAAAATTCAAATCATTTGAGCGTTTCTTTTGATAGCACACACGATTATGTGGAATAACGTTTACTGCAACACATTTTTTTAGCTACTGTTAATTGCACTTATTTAATGGGGCGGATTGAGATTTCTAAAATCAGTAGTCCACCGATTGTTAATTGAAATGTTGGGATCAACTGGCGGGGTCAGTGCTATTAAGCTGGCGTGAACCTGTACGGCCTTGCAGTTCCCAGTTCCAATGCTCGTTCTAATTTGCGATAGAAAACAAAAACCTGATAATAATGGCTTTACGTGGCTGAAATTTTAAAATATTAATTTGCCCTCTTCTTTTAAATTACAAGAGGTTTTGGGGGCACGACGGTCAAGAAAAATATCTCCACGGGCACGGTTTCAAAATCGATAAATTCAATACGAAACTTACGTGCGTTAGTGGCGGTACGACAAACAATAAACAAAATGGAAACACACAAAGCTCAATCCTTTGTCTCTTAGAGCAAATAAGTAAATTCAGAAACTACGCCAAACTATTCGTCTATACACCGGGGGGCCAGCATAAGGCAGGTAAACCTCAAGACTGGAACCGGGTGCTTCGTTACAACAGAAAAGAAAATAGAAAAATGTCACTGCAATGGGTCACAATTCCACTTTAGGGGAGGGGGGTAGTTTTGTACGCTAATTTTGCATTAATAAAAAAACAGATAAATCCATTTCTGTACGGCATCCTGGTAACCCGATGTTTTTTAGGGGTTTTGTCTTCTGTTTTGATTTAGTAATCATGTTAAGAAGGTATCACCCCTTTTTACATCCGTGCTACAGTGCTGTGACTTGGGGAGTGTCCATATTCTATTCTATTTAGAGAAAATAGGATTTATGCAGGAATTCTATTCAATCACCAGAAATAGTCTGTTTTAATAAGTGCACGATTTAATTTAATAAAAACGTTAATTTTTGAGCTAGTAATGATATCTTTTTTAGGTTATGCTTTTTTCATCCGTATTATTTAGAACTGGCGTTGATCTCTTTCGTAGTGGAAAATTTCCCTATGGTAAGGCTCGCGTTTGTTGGTATGTGCAGCTTCTTTCTTTACGGAAAATGGAAAAACCTCAACCTATATTCACAATTGGAGATGTAGTTAATCGCGGCTTGAGTAGTTTTAAATCGGCGGGTTCAGCAATCTCAACAGTCCACTAGGTCAAAGATATCAGTGGACAAGTTTGTACTTGCGATGTTGGTTAAAGTTTATAGTTATATGCGGTGTTTCGGAAAGTCGTATCGCGATTTTATTTAAACAGTTATTTTATGCTTTAATACCGCAACTGTCTATACCAATTCGTTTACCCAAACAACTCAACTTTTTTACATTTACATTTTGTTTTAAACTTATCCGACAGTGTAATTCTGAGCTTTCGGACTTTTTAGTAGTACGAAAAAATCTACGAACTTGATGCTATCCAAATGAGAGCGCCTTACGAGTATATGACCGAAAGCTAAGATGTAGGTACTGTACAGTGTACAGTAAAAAAGTTTTACGCTATACCTAACACAATTTTACAATGTTATTTGACAAATGGCTTACAGAGAAAAGCACTTAAACGCCATAATTTTACAATGGGCTAACGCCAAATAAAAAAAGAGAAACCGGAGAAAAAACTTTGTAAGCGTATCGTACAGATTTCCTCTTTAAATTTTAATAAGCCAATATAAAAAGGATATGAAAAAAGTCTGTTCTCGGTATTTGGGCGCCGAGTTACGAAACAGGAGTTCACGTGTGCGTTTTCGAATTATGCAGAAAGCAGTGTAACTTTATAGCTGGGAATTATTTACGCTTTATGATTGGTTACTATTTGGCTTAATTAAAAGTATAATTTTCCGTAACGTTTTACGAGTCTA